ATAAATAAAATAATTTTTTTATTTATACATATTATAAAATGGAACATAAAATTATAAGAATTATTAATATTTTACTTGTTGTCTTTCTGGAATAATACCAGCTACACTGCCTAGAGTTCGTAGAGTCAAAGCTCTAGCAACTGGATCATTAGAATGTATCACACTATAAATACGTCTGACAAATTCATCAACATTTAAAATTTTATCTAAATGCTTTTCACTTTGTTGACATACTCTGAGAACCCAAACACGTAAAAAATTACTGCCAGTACGAAAAACTTCTGCTAATTTTAAAAGAGAAGAATTTATCAATATTGGAAAAGGATATTTCTCGAATAATCGAGGAAATCGTACTATGGCTTCACATTGTTCACCAATTTTTGTGGAACGTAAACCTGAAAAATATTTTTATTAAATAATCTTTGCAAAATAAACTTCAAAAATTTTTCCTTTTTATGTACAAAAGGATTTATTTATTAAATGTTGTATTAAATTTTTATTAAAATTTTATATTTAACAAGTACTTATTAATAATTTTATTTATTATATATATTATTTTATTATTAATACAATAATATTTTGTAAAAATTATGGTAAAATTAATATAAGGTTAAGTTTAAAAATAATATATAAACATACCTTTATCTAATTCTATAAGAGCAGAATTTGCATCTTGTTCTGGTTCACCAAGTCCTGTATCGTTAAATGCATTCATTCGCATACCAATCATTTTTTTAAACTATAAAATGTGTATTAAATAAAAATTAAGTAAAATGTTTTTTTTCACTTAAGCAATAGAAAATTCAAAGTATCTATATTCATATACAATGCCAAATTCAGTATAAATGAATTGCACGTGCTTAGTATATGTATATAATTTTAATATAAAAATTAACACTTTATTTTAAGACATAATTTTTTAAAGTATGTTAATTTTGAAAAATTATATAGTATATATTTAAATTTATAAAACATATTTAATGATAAATTCATAAATTAAATTATAATATATAAATTGTTTTTATAAATGATATAATTCTATGTTAAAAAGTATAAAAATATTTTTTATTATTATTATGTAATTCAATTTATTTATCATAAAAAATGAATTATGAATTTTTTTCATTAGTTTCAATTCAAATTTCATGTATTCGATATAATTTATCATTTAAGTAATTGAGAATCCCTGATATGATAGATCGAACGACTCTCGCGCGAATATATTCATGTTAGTACAGTTGACAATTAAACTTCGACAAGTATGGGCGTTGTGTTTCTGCTTTTGTGAAAATAAAGAAAAAAACGCTTTATACATAAATTACATTTATAAAATAGTCATTTCCACAAAAATACATAATTGAATAAAAAGTAATTTAATTGGTTGAACGATGGTGGATTACAGTAAATGGAAAGATATTGAAGTAAGAATCTTAGTTTTGGTCCAGTATGCTTATGGAATATTCTAGAGTGATAGTAGAAATTTCGAGTGTTTTTTTATTTGAGTACTTGAAAAAGTATAAAAAATAATTATTAAATTTAAACATATTTAATATAACTTTAATCAAAATTTTGTTATCTATGTACTTATTCTTCATAAATTCTGAAAAAATGATGTACATTTTTTAATATAAATTTTTTCTATTAACGCATATATTAATTTTTATAATTTATATATTTTTTTTAAATTTTCATAAAACAATGAATGTTGTTATTTATAATTAATATATTTATATATCTATTTATATATCTTATTTATATATCTAAAATAATTTATATAAAGTTTAATATATATAAGTTAATAATGTGATGTTAACATTTATCAGATTTCAGATGATGAAGATGATACTCATCCAAATATTGATACACCATCATTATTTAGGTGGCGTCATCAAGCAAGGCTAGAAAGGATGGAAGAACGAAAACGTGAACAAGAGGAACATGAAAGAAAAAAAGCAGAGTAAATTATCTTCAATATATACAAATAAATTATTTCGTAATACTAATATTTTATTATCAATTTAAAAATTTTTTTAATTTTTAATTATTTACAGAACCCTACAAAAATTAAAAGAAACAGAGGAAAAACTTGCAAAATTAGAAAGAGAACAAAAAGATTCAGCAGATTTGACAGCATTAAAAAAAGTTTTATATGATCTTGAACAAGAAGAGAAAAAAATTCAAGAAAAAGAAGAGGAAATGAAAAAAAAAGAGAAATTAACACCTTGGAATGTTGATACTATTGGTCAAGATGGTTTTACAAAAACAGTAATTAATAAAAGACCACCATGTAAAGGAGATGACAATGGTTTATCAGATGAAGAAAAAGAAAAAAAAATGAAAGAATTTGTAAAAGAAAATGAAAAAAAATTAAAAGAATTTGGCATGCTAAGAAGGTATGAGGATAGTAAGAAATTTTTAGCAGATAATCCTGATTTAGTATGTGAAAATACTGCAAATTATTTAGTTATTTGGTGTATTAATTTAGAAATAGAAGAAGTAAGTACATATTTACATATTTATGAATATAATTATTATATAAATTTATTTTATCATAATATATTATAAATTTTAGAAACATGATTTAATGGAACATGTTGCTCATCAATGTATATGTATGCAATGTATTTTGGAATTATCAAAACAATTAGATGTTGATCCAAGAGCATGTGTAGGTTCCTTCTTCAGTCGTATTCAAAATGCTGAATTAGAACATAGAAATTCATTTGAAGATGAATTAAGAGCATTTAAAGAAAGAATACGTAAGAGAGCTGCTGAGAAAGTAGCAGATGCTCTTAAAGAAGCTGAAGAAGAAGAAAAAAAAGCACGTCGTGGTCCAGGTGGTCTTGATCCAGTTGAAGTATTTGAAAGTTTACCAGAGGTACAAAATATTTTATTATGAATATTTTATTATTTTAATATAATATTTATCTTAATTAATAAATATTAATTTAGTAATTTAGTATTTTAATATATTGTAACTAGTTTTAATTATATTAATTATATTATTTTTAGCCTTTACAAAAATGCTTTGAAACACAAGATCATGCTTTATTACAAGAAACTCTAGCAGTAATGCCACGACAAGAAGCACTTTATCATATGAAACGATGTGTTGATAGTGGTCTTTGGTTACCAGATGCAAAAGCTAAAGAATTGATAGATGAAGCATCTACAAAAGTTACAGGAGAAACGCCTAGTGCTGAATAATTACACGTGTCTGTAAATAACATGTGTTAACTTTCATGACTCATTTGTGCAAGTATCCTTTAGTACTATGAATATGTTATAATAAAATATTGTCATTGGACAATGAATACAAAATTTTTATCTTTATTGGCTTTTTCTTATTGTAATAATATTACACTATTGTTATGCTTTGAGTTATTTTAAGACTGAATTGCTGCATAATTTTGAGTTATTATAGGAAGTGTGAATATTATAAACTGTTAATTAAACAGAATAATTATTTAATAATATGTGATAAAATTTCCCCTATATATTACATTGAATAATTAAAAGTTCTGATATGAATATTTACAGGTATTAATATTTATATATGCTAATATACGTAGAATACATACTATATATGTATATAAATATGATTTGTTATATATACATTACATCAATATTTTTTATCTCATTCTTCAAATTAAGTCATATTATGTACATTGAAAATTGTAAACAAACTAAAATTATAATGTAAATAAAGAAAATACATTTAATTTGTTTTTATTAAATATATTTAATTTTTTTAAATATAATAAGACTGTGATTTAAATAGTAGAACAAATAATGCGAATAAATCGAGATCCGCAAGAAAATATAACGGAAATATGTTATTTATACAAATTATTATTTTTTTTCTTTTTAATTTTTTTTAATTTTTATATTTTGAATATTCATTTGTAATTATATATGTTAGTTATGATATATCAAATAATGTCAATAATATCAGCTATAATAAGTATCTAACAACAATTTCAAAAAATGATAGAGAAAAATCTAGTGAAAAAAAAAATTATAGAAATAAAAATTTGAAAGAAGAATACAAAATTAATAAACAAAAGATGTTGGATAATAAAAATTGGATAATCAAAATTTTATTACATATGTTCTAATTTTCAAAAATTTATATAATTAATTTTATTTTTTTTATTTAACTTTTATTATTTAATACTAATTAAAGAGTTCTGTGTATTAATTAAAAAATATAAAATATTATATACATAATTTAGATTTAAGTACAAAATTTAAATGCAATAAGAAAATAATTATTATAATATATTAATAAGAAAATAATATATTTAAATCTATATATATTTATATTATTTTATTATTTTTAATTATTTTATAAATCTATAACAATTTTATGTAATTATTTTACGCGCCTATCATAAAATGAGATAATCGATATTTAAAGTCGAATGATGAATCGATTTTCGACCGGAAATTGTAAATAATCGTATATCGAAGCTGTAGGCTTTTCTTCCTTTTCCGGTATGAGGTGCCACGGGTGTCTGGGTAATATTTTTCGTCTTTCATTCTCGTCATAATACGTTACTTTCATCGCCTGCGAAAAGACAAGCTGGTTTTCATTGGACCGGGTAAAATTACTTGTTTTATTAGAAATAATTTTTTCCTCTTTAAAGTAACTAATATATTTTATTGTTTCAATTCAATCAAATTTGACTTTTGTCTCTACCCAATCTGATGTAAAACAACAGCTTTTACATATTATGTTGCTTTATATGATTGCTTATTCACTTTGCATGGTGACACTATTGGCGTTCATATAATTATATATTTTCAGTTTATCATATTTTATAATTGTCTTAAAAAATGAGATTAAGTCTCTGAGCTCGAAAATAATATTATACATTAATGATTTTTGTATATGTTGTTATTGATTAAACTTGTCTATATAATTTTATATAGATATAATTATATATAATTTTTATATTCAAATTTTAAAATTCATTAAATTACCATTATAACTATAAAATTTCAATTTATTTTATATATTTTAAGATATAAATGAATAAAATAAATCGAAAAAGTTAAAGCAAATTGCGTATATAAGGAGATTTTGTCGTATGATTTATTTGATCATCATAATTGCGCATATACAAAGTAATCGAAAAATTCGCCAGGCATTCTGGGTAAAATCTTTCTGAGTAATCAAAATGGCTGTCATACAACGATTTCCGTTTTATGACTACGTTTTAATGCAATTGATTAAAATGATATTTTTTTTTTAAATTCGAGAATGAAATTAAAGTATATAATTATTATTTTATAGCAAAATTTATTTTTTCAGATGTTAATATTATGTTCCTAAAAATATTAATTTTTATCACGTTTGCAGGGCCTTCATTTTAGTTTGGGGTGTAGATGAAAGAGGGGAAGGGAGGAGCGCGCGCGCGTTGCATGATGGGATGATAGACGGGAGGACGGTCGGGGAGGGCGAAAGAACGAGTCGAGTTCACAAAATGGCGGCCAAGCTCAGGCCCGTGACCATATAGTACGTGAAAATTCGATAATTTTGCACGATGTCGCGACTTTATACATCAATAGTCGTTTAATATTACGAATACGTGTATACACGGCAGTTTAATTATTAAATTAACGTGGTTTTGTGCGTGGTGTGTGTAATATCGAGATATCGGTACGACGCGCAGACGGAACGATGCAGGTGAGTGGTCGGGTTCGAAAATTGTTTAAGTTTCAGCTTTTCTTCAATTTTTTTTGGCAATAATTGTTTGTTTTCGTAGCCGATACGAGCATCAATGTTGTTTTAATGATCAATTTGCGTGATATGGCCGCGGTGTTGTTTGGAGTAGGGAAAAGTCGCGTTGTCACATGCGTTTCATTAAACTACAAGGACAAAAATCCTCGTAAAAATGTAAAAAATCATTGTAATTTTATTTAAAAGATTTCTGCATATAGGGCGGGGTCTCACTGACCTTATGAGCTCAGAGACTTGTCTCCACCAAATCATAATTTTCTGCAATTTTACATAGTTTCTAGGCTCTTAATAACCTATAAGTTTGTTTACATTCGTTCAATTTGACATTTATCACTTAAAATATCATTGTTCCACACTAATTTTTATCAAAAATGATTCCTTGCATTCTCCTTTATCTTGGACCTATGCTTATTCAAAAATTTTAAATAGACCCATTTTTGCAAATTAAGCTCAAAGATTGATATACATTCTCTACATTATAGTTAGAGACTGTGTAGCACAATCACCTGTAAAAGCTCTTGGCAATTACATGCTTTTCATGTAGAAAATATTTCATATATTCTGAGTTTTTTCCTTTAGGAAAACCAGAGATTTCTCTGATATTTCAAGATTTTTTTTATATATTATGAATAAAATCTTATTTTTTGTTTATTCTTTGTCTTTCATAAAATCTTGGGTTTGTATGAACTTGTGAAATATATCACAAATTTATTTTGAATTTGTACATAAAAGAAACATAATAATTTGTTGTAAAACATTAATAATTTTAAATGTTATTTTCAATAAAATTATGTAAAGATAAGATATAAAATTAAAAGAAATAATGATTCATATATATGGATTACATGTATGAAAAATAATTTCTATTAAAATTAGTGTAATATGCAAAAAAATGTTTTTACATTTGTTTTATTAAGAATATTTGTATAGTTATATAATATTTAATATATAATAGTGCAAAATATATTCTTATCAAAACATGTAATAAAATTAAATTCTGGGATTTGCAAAAGTAGAAAATAATTATTTAATATCATATAAAAATTGATATTATCTTACTTAAATCATATTAAAGAAAGAATAAAATTCAATTTAATAAGTTAATTTAAAATTTATTCTTTCTTAAGTTAAAAAGATACATTTATTATATATATACTATGCATAGAAAAATATTTTTGTTACATATAATAGTTATTCATTAGTATTTTTATCATTAATAAATAAAGTATAATATAAAACTTGAATAATAATATTTCAATTTTTATATATTCAGTATATTCTAGAGTTTGAAACAGTTTTTATTGTAATAAAAAATCTTATAAGTAAAGTTGAAAGATTTTATTAAAAAAATTAAATTTTAGAAGAAATAATTATTCTATAAAAGTCTTGTTTCTGTTATATGAAACACATTATTATGAGTTAAAATATAAATTTTTTTTATGAAATGTAACGGAAAGTTTATTTTCAAATAATATTGTGCTTCATATAACAGATTTGTATTTTTGTATTTCTTTCAACATAAATTTGAGATTATTTATCATTTTTTTATTGCTAAAAATATTTAAATATAAAAACAAGTATTATTCTAATATTAAAATTAATAATAACTTTTGATTATGAAAATATTTTGGATACAATTTTTTCTAACTTGTACACTAAATTCAATAAACAAATGTAAATTTTAAGATCAGATAAATATTGTACATAATGTACTTGAATTGTTTAATAAATATGTATAGTATTTAAAAATGGTGAATTATATTATTCTAAAATACCTATCTTATGTTGGTTATTTACAGGAAACTATTCTATATATTTTGGATTAATCACTTACAAAAAGTCCTGCAGAATTCTTCTGCCATTTCATTATTTAAGATAGTTATATAAAATAAATAATGAAAGAATTTTTATATTTCTATTATGAATAATTTTTTAGATAAAGAGAAAATCTATAATTTTTAAACAGTAAATTTATCTTTAATATATGTAAATATGTAACTATCTTTTTATTTAATATATTGCTTGATTTATATTAATATGAATTTATTTCTTTATTGATATATAATTGAATATAATCTAAAAATGCAAAATCAAATGTAATACGCTGCTAATTTTATTAGAGTGTATATAATGGATCATTAAGGAGTTTTATTTAAGTAATTCTTAACTACAAGATGGTGGTCAAGAATTACAAAATGGAGGAAAGATTCTCTTGATAGATGGCACTGCTAATTTATGTACAAATTATTCTGAACATTAAAAATATACAAAACAAGAAAGGATATTATATATTATTATTTTCAAAATATATTCAAATAAATCTAAAGAACTGCTAATTCTAAAGAACATATTATATATAATTAAAAAATACAGTTATATTAATATTATTGTATAAAAACTATTCCAAACAACACATTGCGACTTATGTATTTTTGAAAATAAAACAATATTAGATTGGTCTGATTAACTTACAGAAAACATTAGAGTCTGAATCTGGTAAAGAATCGGGGTCTGATTCTGAAAATGAAAGTAAGAGTGATAGCTCTTCTTCAGGAAGCAATACAGGATCTGGTTCTGGATCAGAAAGGTGGGTATTAAAATCAACATTATTTAATTCCTTTCTTTCAGAAAGTCCAAAACATGGAAAATTAATATTTGTTTTATTTCATATTTGTTTGAATTTTTATTATTATTATTATTATTGATATTGTTATTATTATTTTTATTATTTTACCCATCTATCTAGTATTAAACAATTTTTATATAGAATAATAGTAATAAATATAGATTTAATAATAATAATTAATATTTATGTATAATATTTAATATTTAATAATGTATAATATATTTTATATAATGTATTTGGCTTTCTGATATGTAAAGGATTATTTAAGATTAATTATTTAACTTTGTGTATTGCTATAGCTTTATATAGCATTAACATTGCTTTCATAATCATGCTAATTTAATGTATTCCTTGAATTTTATATAAGCACAATCTTCAAGTTTCTGTTACTCATATGCAATTAGTATTTGTTTTCTTGTATATTAAAATAATTTAAACATTAGGTGAGCTAGTATTATACTGCTTTAATCATTTTATAATAATTTGTTCTATTACATTAGTATATGTTAATGTAGATACAGAAACATAAGGAAAAGAGATATTTTCACAAATGTATTGAAATGCAAATACTGAAGAATAGAAATACTAAGATTACAACTTAATATCAGGATATCTAAAGTTACTTAAAGGTATTAAATGATTTGTAACTGATATGTACATATTGCATTTAGTTAATACATATAGATAAATCAACATTGATGTATTAAATTATAATGCTTTTGTAATTGTGCATATTTTTTATTTCAAACTAAAATTGAATAATAAAAAAAAGAAAAAAGATCATAAAATTTTAATATATTTAATTATATATTTAATAATATATATATTTTATTAATTATTAATATATATATATTAATAATTATCAATATTTAGATTTATAATCAATTGCCATTTTAAATTAATAATTATAAAAATAGTACTTTGTATTAAATAAATTTATGTATTTTATTCAATATTTTTTAAATTACAATAACTTCTGTAATTATATAAACAATGATAGTGAAATAAAACATTACCTGACTGCAAATGCAGTGACTCTAGCTCTTCAAGTGGTTCCGGATCAGGATCAGGTTCTGATTCTGATAAATCAGAGAAATCGGATGCACCTGCACAAAGTGATAGCTTCCAGAGCAAAAGTTCAAATCACAGCACAGAAACAAAAGTTAGGCTTAAGAATGAGTCTAGTCGTGAATGGGATGAGAATCCTGACATTTATGGAATCAGAAGATCCGGCCGTTCTAGGAAAGAGCCTGAAAGGCTTGCTACACAACGTGAAAGCGATAGTGATAGTCGCAAGAAATTTAAAAAAAAGGGGTAAGTAACATGAAGAAACTCAAATAATTATCAAAAATTGAAATTAAGAATTTTGCAATCTTTTTAATTATTTTTTTATGGATTAAATTAATATTGTACAAATTAAATAAATACATTTTTTATTGTATAATATAATAATTCAAAATATATAATTTTTTAAAAATATAAATTTATTGATATATAATATATCTAGTAAATTTAGTGAAAAATAAAATTCTTTTTTGTATATATTTATAATATTAAATATTTTAAAAAATTAAATGGTTCTACAGAATAATATTTAAAAAATACAATAAAAACAAATGTCACAAATCTTAATCTTATAATTTGTAAAAACTATAAAAATAACTAAATATTTTTAATATTGATAAAATTTCAATTTATAATTAGTATAATTTACAATTAATTTGGATCATATATAATTTATAATTATTCAATAGGTTTGTATTTCACAAGAATAATAATAATTCTTTAAAGCTTTCATGTTAATAATGTGCTCTATTCTGTATTGCAGAATAGATATTGTGTATTAATGTGCTTTTATACTTTTTATTTTTGATGTTTAAATTTGTGTTTATTAAGCTTAGTGCTTTAAACATGTTTTTACACCATAGCACTGTTTGTTTTTTACCTTGTTTTTAATTTTGTTTTGTTAAATAAACTATTGCATTGTAACAAATAATTTTTATATTTAATATTTATTTTATCTTTAGTTTATGCTATTTATTCATGCATTTATGTAATTCATTATAACATTTATATAGAAAAAGATATATATAATAATATATATAATATATGCGCGCGCGTAAATTTGTGTAGATTATTTGCATGTAAAATATTATCAATGCATTATATAGTAAGAATAATTACATAATTTAATAAATATTATTTTTTTGTTAGTAAAAGTAAGTAAAGATTATATAAAAAAAATTTATTTTTATAAATGAAAATTTTGTAATAAATTTTGTATAACTTATTATTTTAATTATTATTTATAAATATCTAATTAAAAAAAATTTTATTTCCAACATGATTCTATTATTAAATTATATTCATTATTAACAAAAAAAATAGTTTTAATATTTATAATTTAAGTATTTTAATATTCAAACTTAATTTGGGATAAAAATATCAAATGAATAAAATATATGTGTGTAAAATATATATACATGATTTTTTTATTTTATTATTATTATTATAATATATTTATAAATTTATATGTTTACATTTATATTTTTTCTCTTTTCTTTACAGTTCACATAACTCATGGAATTCAGATAGCTCAGATTCTGAATCTGATGATGTTGAAAGTAGAAGACCTCCACCTAGTAAATCGTTAAATAGACGCGCTGCACAGAAAGCAAAAGAAAAGGCAAGAATACGAAAGAAACGTATTTCAGAATCATCTGAAAATTCTTCTTTTGATAGCGATGATAATAGAAGGTATTTAATATTATTTTTTATAATTATAATAAAATAACTATGATATTCATAAATTAATGTTAATTTGAATATCAGACAAGTTACAAGAAGAACTGGAACTGCTATTAGTTATAAAGAAGAAAGTGAAGAAAGAACTGATAGTGAAGATCTTGTTGAAATTGATGAAGGTAGTACTGCAAATACAGAACCAGATAATGCAGAAACAATTGAACGAATTTTGGGACAAAGAATTGGTAAAAAAGGAGGTATTTAATATACTTATTATTGTAAATTATAAATTACAATTATATTTGTATTTATTTTTTTAAATATTTTGCTATAATATTATTTTTTAGTTACAGGAAATGTCACTACAATTTATGCTGTAGAAGAAAATGGCGATCCAAATCCTGAAGACTTATCTAGGGAAGAAACTGAATTGCAATATTTAATAAAATGGAAAGGATGGTCTCATATTCATAATACATGGGAATCAGAAGAATCTTTAAAAGCTCAAAAAGTAAAAGGATTAAAAAAATTAGATAATTTTATTAAACGAGAACGAGAAATCAAACAATGGAGAGATTATGCTGGACCTGAAGATATAGATTATTTTGAGTGTCAATTAGAACTTCAACAAGATCTTTTGAAAAGCTATAATAATGTTGAAAGAATTATTGCTGAATATAATAAACCAGATTCAGAACATCCTGATTATTATTGCAAATGGGAAAGTTTACCTTATGCTGAGGCTACATGGGAAGATGGAGCATTAATTGTCAAAAAATGGCCAGAAAAAATAAAAGAATTTCGTGAAAGAGAGGAGTCAAAAAGAACACCAAGTAAACACTGTAAAGTTCTTAAATCTAGACCTAAATTTCATCAGTTAAAAGGACAACCAGATTATATGGGAAAAGGTCGAGATTTGACTCTTAGAGACTATCAAATGGATGGATTAAATTGGATGATTCATTCATGGTGCAAAGAAAATAGGTATATTATTTTTCTCAATACAATTAAAAGTATAATAAAATTATATAATGTATTAATTAACATTATATATTATATATTTTATATTATAATAATTTTTTTTTTTACATGTGTTTATAGTGTTATTTTAGCAGATGAAATGGGTCTTGGTAAAACTATACAAACGATATGCTTCCTTTATTATTTATTCCACACACATCAGCTTTATGGACCATTTTTGTTAGTAGTGCCTCTTTCAACAATGACTTCCTGGCAAAGAGAAATGTCACAATGGGCACCAGATATGAATTTTGTTACATATTTGGGTGATGTTACTTCCCGTAATGTTGTATGTATTATTTATTTTTATTTTTATAAAATTTATTTTTTATGTTGTTTTTTAAATATATTTACTTTCTATTTATATATATTTTATAAATATATTTTAGATTAGAGAATACGAATGGTGTTACAGTTCAAAAAGATTAAAATTTAATGCCATACTTACAACATATGAGATAGTACTTAAAGATAAAGCATTTTTGGGTGCCTTAAATTGGGCCGTATTGCTAGTAGACGAAGCACACCGATTAAAAAATGATGACTCTCTCTTGTACAAAGCACTTGCTGAATTTCATACGAATCATCGTCTTTTAATAACTGGTACTCCATTACAAAATAGTTTAAAAGAATTATGGGCCTTATTACACTTTATAATGCCTACTAAGTAAGTTTTTTTTTAATATTATCGCCATTTATTAAACATTAAATATACTATTTAAAATTGAATGTATATATGAATTGTAATTAATTAATTTTATAATTAAATAATTTTATGTTAAAAAATAAAATTACAAATATAAAAGATACAATAAAATAATATATATAAAGTACAATTACAAATTGATATATAAAATAATATTAAAGTATAATTCTAATAAAAATAATATTATAATATAATTCTTTTTTTGTATTTATATAGGTTTGGTTCATGGGAAGAATTTGAAAAGGAGCATGATAATGCGGCTCAAAAAGGCTATTCCAAATTACATAAACAATTAGAACCATTTATTTTACGACGTGTCAAAAAAGATGTAGAAAAGTCTCTACCCGCGAAAGTTGAACAAATATTACGAGTAGAAATGACATCGTTACAAAAACAATATTACAAATGGATATTAACAAAAAATTATAATGCATTGCGAAAAGGAGTTAAAGGTTCTACTATGACGTTCCTAAATATTGTTATTGAATTAAAAAAATGTTGTAATCATGCTTTCCTCACAAAACCTACTGAAAATGAAAGAAAGGACAATAATGAAGATTATTTACAACAATTAATTCGAGGTTCTGGCAAATTAGTGCTTCTTGATAAATTATTAGTGAGATTACGAGAAACAGGTCATAGAGTATTAATATTTAGTCAAATGGTCAGAATGTTGGATATTCTTGGAGAATACCTACAAAAAAAACATTTTCCATTCCAAAGATTAGATGGAAGTATAAAAGGAGAATTACGAAAACAAGCACTAGATCATTTTAATGCAGAAGGATCCCAAGATTTTTGTTTTTTATTATCGACAAGAGCAGGTGGTCTTGGTATTAACCTTGCTACTGCTGATACTGTCATTATTTTTGATTCAGATTGGAATCCACAAAATGATCTACAAGCACAAGCTAGGGCACATCGTATTGGTCAAAAAAATCAGGTTTAATATTTTATATAAATATTATAACATATTTTAAATTGCAATATTTTATTTAAAAAAAATTTTTATTTAGGTAAATATTTATCGTTTAGTAACAAAAAATTCTGTAGAAGAAGAAATAGTAGAAAGAGCAAAACAAAAAATGGTTTTGGATCATCTTGTAATTCAACGGATGGACACAACTGGACGAACAGTATTAGATAAAAAAAATGCAGGGACCAATAATAATCCATTCAATAAAGAAGATTTAAATGCTATTTTAAAATTTGGAGCTGAAGATTTATTTAAAGATGAAGAAGATGGAGATGAAGAACCAACTGTAATTGTTCTAAAAAAATAAATTATTATAAATTAGATCTACATAAAAATATAAAATATAACTTTTTATTATTTTTATGTTATTAGTGCGATATTGATGAAATTCTAAGAAGAGCAGAAACAAGAGATGAAGGACCTTCAACTGTGGGAGATGAATTGTTATCTGCATTCAAAGTTGCTAGTTTTGCTGCATTTGAAGAAGAATCTGAACCAGTTAATCAACCTAATGATAATGATGATGAAAGTAAAGATTGGGTAATTATTTAGACATTAAATATACTTTTTAATATTTTTATATATAAAAATGAGTACTAATTATTTTTATTTCGATTGATTTTAGGCCGAAATTATTCCAGAAAATTTCAGAAAAAAAGTTGAAGAAGAAGAAAAATCAAAAGAAATGGAGGATTTATATTTGCCTCCACGAAGTCGAAAAACATTACAGCAAATTAATCAAAGTGGGGAAGGTATATATTGTATTAAAAATGTTGATTTATTATAACATATAATTATGTATGTATGTAAATTTTTCGTTTTGCTATTAAGGAAGAGGAAGAAAACGAAAAAAATTATCTGCTGATGATAGTGAAGAAGGTGAGGATTCTGGAAGTGAGATTGAGGGTAGTGATGATGAACGTCCTAAAAAAAGAGGTAGACCAAGAGTTACGCCACGCGAAAACATAAAAAGTTTTACTGATGCAGAGGTATGTATTTTCTTATATAATAATAATTTTGCATGTATTAAATAAATTTAATTTCTTTTATTATGTAGATACGAAGATTTGTTAAAAGTTACAAAAAATTCCCTGCACCATTAAAACGATTAGATGATATTGCGGCGGATGCAGAATTGCAAGAAAAACCAATGTCAGAATTACGTTTCTTGGGAGATCAGTTAAAAACTAGATGCGATGCTTGTTTATCTGAATTTGAAAGTACAGCAAAAGAAAATAAAGGCGAAGAAGAGGGTAAAGGTCCTGGTCGTAAAAGAGGTCGTGGTCCTACATTTAAAATTGGTGGGGTTATGGTTAATGCAAAATCTTTCTCAGCTGCTGTAAAAGAATTAGAACCTTTAGAACAAGCTTTACCTTCAGATTCGGAACAACGATCTAATTGGCATATTGATATTAAGTATGTATATTTTTCTCATCAAATTTTTATAATTAAAAATATTTTTATATTGTATATTTATTTTATAATTATATATATATATGTCCTATTATAGATTAAAACCAGCAAATTTTGATTGTGACTGGAATTCTGAGGATGATTCTAGACTCTTAAGAGGTATATATCAACATGGAATGGGCTCATGGGAAGCTATCAAAATGGATAATAATTTAAAACTTGGTGATAAACTTCTTCCAAATGGTAGCAAATTACAATTAAAAAAAATAAATACTCGAGCCGAATATTTATTAAAAGTTCTCAAGAAACAAATTGATTCAAAATTAGGAGTGGTAAGAAAATATTTTTTATATAATATTTCATTAAAAAAACCCTTTATCCTATTATTTTATCCTGGCAGGGTTATGTCCTTATCCCGCAATCCGAATATCAATTCAAGGTAATTTCTAAAAATCTAATAATTTTAATTTTTATATAATATACATTCTTCATAATTAATGAGATTTATAAATAAATTATAATTTCATATTGTATATTATAATTTGTTCAAATAATAATTTTAGACTAAGGCAAGGAAGCCAAGAAAACCAAAAGAAGCAAAACCTGCCATTACAAAAGAAATTATAGAAGAAAATGACAGTTCGGGTGAAGAAAGTAATAAATCTAAATCTAAAATTGAAAAGGTAAATTTATTATATATTTATAATTCATAAATAAAAAAAATGTTAATATTTTTTTAATTTAAAAATATTAATATTCATTTTAATTAAAGCTACCTACAAAAAAAGAAGAAGAGGTTGTTGTAAAGAAAGAAACTAAAGAAGAAGTTGAAGATATAGTAGAGGAAAAAAAGAAAGAAAAAAAAACTAAAAAAGAAAAAAAAGAAAATAAAAAAGCTAAAAAAGCAAAACAAGCAGCAGGTCCAATGCATTTTACTGCTAACAATGAACCAAGAGCTCTTGATGTTCTTGGTGATTTGGATCCTTCTATATTTAATGAGGTAATATTAATTGTTTTAATATCATTTATATTAAAATATTATTTATATGCATCAAATATGAATAATAATTTAATTTATTTTTTAATTACATAGTGTAAAGAAAAGATGAGACCAGTAAAGAAAGCACTCAAAGCTTTAGATAGACCTGATCAATCTTTAAGTGAAGCGGAACAAGTCGCACACACAAGACAATGTCTTGTACAAATTGGAAATCAAATTAATACTTGTTTAGAAGAATATAGAGATCCTGAACAAATTAAGGAATGGAGAAGCAATTTATGGTATTTTGTGTCTAAATTTACAGAATTTGATGCAAAAAAACTTTACAAATTGTATAAACACGCGACGAAAAAAGGAGGTGAAAGTAACACTAGTGCTACTTCTAGTCCAGAAAAAAAAGAGGACTCAAATAATGTAAAAGTATGATAATTTATTCTTATTTTAATAATATACATATTATTATTCATATAATTAATTTTAATTTTATTCATAAAACTAATTTAATTTTATAGAAGCACTCGGAAAAACATATCGATAAACAAATAGAAACTATCAAAGAAAGTAGATTGCAAAAACGTAGAATCGAAGATATAGAAGAAAATTCGAATAGTAGTAATACACCAAGTAAAAAACACCTCTCAAGTATATCTGCTGTAAATAGTATCAGCAATACGTCTACAGTTACTATTGGTGCTATTACTATTACCCCTATTACATCGACTCCAAATTCTACTTCAAGTACTACTAATAGTGTAGATACACCACGACATAAAGAAAAAGAATCAAAACATAAAGACATGAAAAGAGATAGAGAACGTGATAGAGATAGAGATAGAACGCATAGTGATAGAAATATGGATAGAATGAGTGGAGGTAAAGATGAAAGAATCAGAAGAGATAGTGGTGGTTATATGAGCGGACATTATAGTGGAAGTAGAGATGATGATCATTGGTTATCTCGTGATGGAAGAGATATGCGAGATGGAAGGTATAATAATAAAATAATAAAGAAAGATATAGAATAATTATTATAATAATAAAGTATCTAATTTAAAATGATTATGTATAGATTTGGAGACCATAAACGTGATCGTTTCGATTCTTATGGACGAATGTCTAGTGGATATCATCGGGACAGAGATCGAGATCGCGATCGGAGTATGCATATGAATGACAAACGAAGGTAAGCTATAAATAATATTTCATATGAAAATAAAGTTCATATCAGTGTTCAAAAAATTCAAAATCTGTGTTCAGTGATTATTACAGATATCCATCAGGACCACCCAGTTATGGATATGGTCCAGGAGGATATGGAGGTGGAGGCGGCGGTTATGCTCCATCTGATATTCCACCAAGCCATTTTAGAAGTCGAGGTTATCCTGGAGATAGTTATCCTAGTGATTGGCGACCAAACAAAGATTACAGACGAGATTATGATAGAAGACCACCTCCACCAAATGCTAACTCCTAGTGCTCCTTCCTTGTTACCGTTCTTGAATGTGTTGTTGAGCGGCTGTAATTTCGATAAAGCCTTGTATTTTACCTGACTGAGCATTACATTATGCTCCCTTAAACATGGCTATATGCGAAATTCTTTACACAGTTTATTCTGTGATTTAGTAGTACCACTCGTGACTTGTACCTATGTATAAATTTACTCCGATGCTTACTTAATACAGTATTGTGCGCTTAAGTGTCGCATTTTTTCCTCGCTTGAATATTACAAAATTATCTTCATTAATTCCTAGAACTTCTTTAATGAGATTATTAGCTTTTCGGGTTTAAAACGGCGACAAAAAAAATGTATTTCATTCTTGTTGTTTCTCGCCTTCGATGTACTCGACAAGAGAACGAAGCAATGAAAGCAATTTTTAAAAATGTCTACCTCTCTGGAGTGTCGCAACATGAACCCGAATTTGCAATACTTAAGCGGATAATACTGTACGACAAAAAATTATACCATGATTGAATGGTCTTTTTAAGGAGAGGTTGTGCAAAAATAATGAATTAATTCATATTCTTAGTGTATAATTAATAATTTTTTTATATATGTCGGATTTCACCAAAAATAGCGATGCTGAATTTTTAAGTTTCTATTCATTAATGTTTCTCATACGTAAGAAATTACGTTTACTATTCTGTTTTATTACAGTGCAATTATGATAAGATTTGATAACGAACTAAAATCAAATTAATGTGTTTGTAGTGTATATTATTACGTACAGTGCTAAAAATCATAATTTAAAATGTATGCCTTCCTAAATCGCATGTAACATATTTTGCATTTTCGATATGATCATGTATGTTTAATGGATGTTTAGCTTGTATACAATTATTCACTTCTTCAAACTATACTCTGTTTTCATAAATCTTCAAACTTTCATGATTGATTTATAGTTTAATAATTAATCTTTTTACATTAGTCAATATTTTATTGCACTGCAATAGATATTAAAATATTGATATCTTATTTCATACAATGAGGTTTGTAAAATTGTACAAATTAGTCAACATTATAAATTTTCTATTAACTGAAAATTCAAAAAAATTTTACATCAAATGTAGAATAACATCTTTTTGTGATGATATGCAGTATAAACGAGCTGCGCTTATTGTAAAATTAGAACGACAAATATGATATTTGCCAACAGATGATTACATTCTTAAAAGAGAAAAAAAATATTAACTTTCTCCTCTTATATAGAATTTATACTTTCACAATTGAAAAGTAGATAAGAATTCTATTTTTGCGTTCATTCTTTTAAAGTACTATAGTTTTATATCCTATCAAAAACACTGTGAAATATTGTAAATATTAGTATAAGGCGATAGTTATATTCGATGTATATTTAACTCTGGAATTAATGAGATAGTATTCTGCTTTCGTAGAAAGAATAAACAAAAGACTACTAGTTCCCTCAGTTTTGCTTTAGTTAAGAATGATTGAATATAACTATATTATTGTAATTAAAAAAAAGAACATGAGTTTTTAATTATTCAACGATTAATATCTCTAAAAGATATTAAAGTATTTCTTGATTAAACCTTAAATTGTGGTAAACTATAAGTTTTTGCGAAAACTTTGTATTTCATTATTTATCCATTAGGATGCATCAGGCAATATAAATTATATTCTATTTCCGTAACAAATATTTACAAATTTTATATTCATAAAATATGAATGTTAAACTCTTTTGTATGTATGCATTAATTTTTTTCATCCTAAAATCACGTAAATGCTATGAATTTTTTCTTATAGTGTAATTTTTTTTTTGTCTAAAATGATTTGCATAAACGATATAATGCCTTTATTAAACTATAAAATAAACAAATTATTTTGTAGATTAGTTTATTCATATAAAATGAATTTATGGCAAAGATTTACAATTTTAGTGTGCATTTCTGTAAATAATAGTATATGTTACACATACGTGTGATGGTATTTGATCAGATCAAAGCGGGAATTGTACACACGTTAACGATACTTCGTGTCTTACATATATATAAAACAAAGTACATTGAAATTATACCACGATAGAAATTTGCTAGTTTAGATTTTTAATTGCAAAGTGATATTCTAAACAGTGAGCTATTTATAATTTATTACTAGCTGAATACAGACTGCGAGTAATAAAACAAGAGATATGTTGTAAATATAAATTAAGAGAAATAAATGATATAGTAGAATAATTTAATATTCAATAATTGAAATAGGGCAATTACACATTTTATTATTTTTTAAAATATAAATGAAAGTTTTTGACATATGTACGTCTTAAGTGCCATGCTTATGCGAATTTTGAAAATTGATTCATTTAACTATTTGCTAGAATTATTTTTTAACGAATTTATTAGTATAAATAAAAATCTTTAAATATGTATTTAAATATAAATATAACAACAATTGTTTAATAATATTTTATTCTTCATTTTATTTACAATGATACAATGATAATATTTTGTAATTATAAATATTTTTCAAATTATATCGCATAATCTTATAAATACTAGTACACATAGAGTAAAAAATTATTATGTAAGTACTGGTTTTATACATGTAAATTCGATTTAAATAAATATATATACATATATAAGATGCACCAGTAATTATATAGTACAATTAGAAAAAGAATAATTTCAAAAAAAAGAAATACATAAAAATATATTCATTAATTTATATAAAATATAGAACATACTATAAATAATAATTGGTAAGTTAAATCTCCATTATGGATAAAAATATTCGTTTTTTTCTTTTAAAAATAAGACTGAGTTGTAATCATCACAAATTGACGCAAATACTGACTTAAAATTAAATTTTTTCGCGCGAAATTGTATACTGTAATGTAGCCTAATTTGCTTATTATTATATGTTATAATATAATTTCTAAATTTGAAACTTTCGACTAATACGTATATTTATTTTTATTAAAAAAGAGATAAAGGAAATTAATATTGTATTAGAAAATATATTGGGATAATAGAATATATTGAAATATAACCAATCGTATTTATATTCTTGTCTTTTGAGTCTTCCTTCTAGCTTTGCATAATATTTATTACATAATGTAATTTAAATATATATATATTCAATTAAATATCGGATATAAATAATATATATATATTATATAAAGTAAATATTCTGATTTTTAAATTTGAAACTTTCGATCAATATGTATATTTATTTTTATTAGAAGAGATATAAAAGAGATTAATATTGTATTAGAAAATATATTAGAATATAACCAATCATATTCGTATTGTTTTTGAGTCTTCCTTCTAGTTTTGCATAATACTTAATACATAATATAATCCATGTATATTACATTATGTATATACATTCAATTAAATATATCCAATATAAATACTATATATATAAAGTAAATATTCTTATAATAAAATATATTTCTAATTGTAGAAAATATTTTTTATAGTTAAAATTTGTATTTTATGTATAAAAAATATAAAAATATTTATAGAAAACATATTACGTAATAAAATCCCCTCCCTTTGGATTCTATATAAACGCAATTCGATTCCATGTATTAACATACGATAGAAAGACGCAATTAAGAAAGAGTGCGATTTTATTAAATTTAGCAAAAGAACAAACATATAAACATCTCGTTCATTATTTTTCAAAAGGTATGTATTCTATGAACAAAATTTAAAAATTATCAATTGCATAAAAATATGGAAACTTCTTGAAAATTATAATTATGTCAAACTGTCGGCTACCGGCGAAATGACATTTAAGCTATAGCAATATTCGAAACACATTATAAAAGATATACCTTTCTAATTAATATTTTATTATATTTACTTAAAAAAATAAATTTTGTTTTAAGAGTTATTATAATTTTTTTAATTTTATATATAAAATATTTAATATTTGATCTATATATCAATATTTAGTGCATTATTAAAATTTATT